AACTCATCCTAGAAAAAGTGCTACATACCTCATTGCTGAATATCACTACAGTCACCTTCAAAGTACTCCCCTTGGGAAGCTATGCACCAATGACAGTGCCTAGTCCACCCTTCAAAGCAATTTTGGAACTCATTATCTGGAATGGCCATCAAATCTGTCATCGTATTACCCTTGATGTCCTGAATGTCATCAAAATGTCTTCCTTTCAATATTTCCTTTATCTTTGGGTAAAGAAAGAAGTCATTGGGGGCCCAATCAGGTGAGTAGGGAGGGTGTTCCAATACAGTTATTTGTGTACTGGCTAAAGACTCCCTTACAGACAGTGCCTTGTCAGCTGGTGCTTTGGTGTGATGCAAGAGCCATGAATTGTTGGCAAAAAGTTCAGGTTGTCTACCTTTTTCATGCAGCTTTTTCAGCACTTCCAAATAGTAAACTTGGTTAACTGTCCAGTTGGTACAAATTCATAATGAATAATCCCATTGATATCAAAAAAGGTTAGCAACATTGTTGCAACAAGTTTGTGAACTTAATTGTCACACCTTGTGTGTGTGTGTGTGTGTGTGTGTGTGTATGCATACATATATACAGAGGATGCCAAAAAATGTGTACACATTTTAAGAAAAGAAAAAACTGTATTAAATTCATGCTGATAGTAACCACTTTGAGCACCTCTTGTAATTGCAGAAGTCAAACTTGACTTGTATTCGTCTTTTGTTATTGGTATATATTGAGTATTACAAATTTAATGCAATATATATGCATATGTTGAAGCTCTAACTTTCAATTTGATGGTGTTTGGAGATGGGGCCTTTGGGAGATAATTAGGTTTAGATGAGGCCATGACGGTGGGGCGCTCATGATGGGATTAGTGCACTTATAGCAAGAGACACCAAAGAGCTCACTTTCTGTCTTCCTTTCTTCCTCTCTCTCTCTCTCCCTCTCTCCCTCTCTTCCTCTCCCTCTCTTCCCCCACCCCTACCATGTGTGGATTCAGCACAGAGGCAGCTGTGTGCAAACCAGGAAGGTAACTCTCACTGTGGAAGTGAATTAGTTGGCACATTAATCTTCCCACCCTCCAGAACTGTGAGAAGTAAATTCCTGTTGTTTGAGCTTCCCAGTCTATAGTATTTTGTTATGGTAGCTCAAGCTGACTAATACAAACATAAACTTATTAGGAATAGGAGAAGACTGGGAAGAGGCAGAACAATATTGTACCCTAAAGAAGACATTCTTTCTTTTTCTTTCTCCATCTAGTCAGGTGAAAAGCAGGTGAGCTGAGTTTGAGAGTAGCACAACTTTTGGATTTCTTGGAGGCTTCTCGACCTGGGCTCTATTTCTTGCTTTGTTATTTGATGGGACTGGGTAGTGGGGATGGAACAGGAAGCAGAAGAATGGAATCCAGAGGACAGAAAGAGGTAATTCATTTGAAAATGAGGGAAATTAAATAAAAAGGTAAAGAGACATGTTCTTTAATAAAGGTCATTTAGCTTAGCTTACCAGGGAAGGAAAAGAGGCAGGGATTCAGGATAGACACTATCCAGGAATAAAGACTTTGTCTGGTGTTTCCCTCAATGTGATAAATTAAAAGCAAAGTAAGTGTAAAGCAGGGTGCAAATACCTAACATTGGTGTTTTGTGATATATTTGTGAAGCATCAGTTTGTGGCAGTTCTGATTTCTCCCTTCTACAACCAACATCTGATCAAATCCTATCAAGTCTACCTTCTTAATGTCACAGACCATGTAGCTTTCTATGGTTAGGTTGTATCATAGCTTCTCTTAAGATTATCTTAATAGCTCTCAGATTTATCCCATCTTTTCTATCCCCATGGCCTTTGACCTATGTCAGCCTGCCATTTTCTTTTACTCCTGAGATATTATATCTTTCTAACGGACATTTCTGCCTCTGGCCTTATTCCTTCTAATCCATACTCTACATTGGCCAACAGATTGATCTTTCTAAAATGGAGACAGTAAAACTATTAAAATGGTTAAAATCAGGGGTTCTGGGATCAGACTGCCAGCATTTGTATACTGGCTCAACCACTTACCTTGAATAAGTTACCTAATCTACCTCTGTCCTTCAGCTACTACATCTGTACAATGAGAGTAGTGTCTCCCTTACAGGGTTAAATAAAAATTAAAAAGTAACCTATTTCATGTTCTTAAAACAGTGTCTTACACAGTGTAAGTGTTCATTATATAAAAGCTGTTATTATTTTTTAATCTGACTTTGTCACTTTGCTTACTCCCTATCAGGGGTCACAAATTCCAATGCTTACTTACATTCATTTATGTGAGTAAAATGGGTGAAGTAGGCAGGCAAATACATTAATTTAAAAGGGACAACTTATTCTTGTCACATAGGGATGAAGTTGCCAGATCTTATTTTTCAAGTTAATCTAGAATGTTATATTGTTGTATATAAATAACTCCAAATATGGATGCTCATTGTTATTATTTTTTTAATCTTGGGGCAAAAAAGATAAAAACTAAGGGCCAGCCGAGTGGCTCAGTTGGTTTCCGGTTCAATTCCCACATGGGCCAGTGAGCTGCGCCCGAGCTGAGCTGCCACCAGGTGGCAGGATGGTTAGCTGATGAGAGCACGTGCTCCTAACAACAAGGTTGCCAGTTCGACTCCTGCATGGGATGGTGGGCTATGCCCACCCGCAACTAAGATTGAATATGACACCTTGAGCTGAGTGGCTGTGAGCTACCACTGGCCGGCTGGATGGTGACTAGACTTGGAGCTGAGCTAGCTGTGCCCTCCACAACTAAGACTGAAGGACAGCAACTTGGCTGTTACCCTCCCCCAACCCCCCCCCCAAAAAACAAAAAACAAAAAACAAAAAAAACACAGACCTAAAATTACAAAACTACTTTATGGCTAAAGGGCCTGCAGCTTGCAACCTCTGACTGAATGAAATCTAAATTTCTTAAAGTTGAATTTGATATATTATTTTTTAGAAAGCATTGTTTACTTCTCTCATATTGGTATTAGTCAGTCTTCTTGGTTGCAGGTCATTAAAACCATCTCTGTCTGACTTTAGCAGATGAAGAATTTCTAGAAGGGGTATTGAGTAACTGGTATAATTACTAGGAAACCTAGGGAATCAGATTCAGAGAACAGGCTAAAACCAAGCACCATGGCCATAATTGCACTGTAGGAACTATCTGACATGGACACTGCTGTTGCCACCACTGATACTGGAATGTCACAGCTGGCACTGATGCTATCTCTGTCAATGGCCCTGCTGTTGGGATCATTACAACTGCTACCCCTAGAAATCATACGTTGTTGCTGCTGTTGCTTTAAAATGTACACTTTTCTCTTTTCATCTCTTTGTATCATTTACTCCAGAATCAAATGCCTGGGCAGGAGAAAACATGTGATAAGCTGGAGTCAGGTTAGTGCCCACCTACCATGCTTTAGCAGGCTGAGGGTGGGAAAAAGTGAATATCTGCATGGGTACACATCCTTTCTTTATTCCCTCTTGTTATGATGGAGGAAGAGGTTTTCCTCCATTCTATGACCAATCATCTACTTGTGCATTAGATTCCACTCACTCCTGCCTTCGTGGAAACCTTAACTATTTCTCCCTTTTATATCTTCAACCTCTCTGTCTCTATAGAAGCTTCTCTATCAGTAAATAAATATGTCTGTTCTATCTTAACAAATAAATTTAAATTACACCTCTTCTCCACTAACAAACAAATAAATCCATACATTCTCCCCAGCCAGATTTCCCAAAAGAGTTGTATAAATTCACTGGGTATTGTCTCAGTTCTCATTCACTCAACCTACCAGTCTTGCTTCAGCTCCCAACATCAAAAATGGTCATCAGTGACTTCTTTTTCACCTAGTGGACACGTTTGTGCTTACTGTCCATTTCTAGGTGGAATTTTATGGGGTTCATCATTTCTTCCTTCTTAAAGCATTAACTATCTATAAATGTCCTTACTATCTTCCTCAATTGTATTCTTGCAACCTATTCTCCTCACAGTAGTCAATGTGATCTTTTCAGATTATATATCAGATCATCTCACCCCTGCATCAGAATCCTTCTTCAAGGAGGAGGGGGTGGTAGATGAGGGTAAATGGGATCAAATATATGGTGATGGAAGGACAACCGACTCTGGGTGGTGAACACATAATGTGATATATAGATGATGTATTACAGAATTGTGCACTTGAGACCTATGTAACTTTACTAACCATTGTCATCCCAATAAACTTTAATTAAAAACCATTTTAATTCATTAGTGTTAATTTTACATCCCCCGCTAAACTTGGCCTCCCTGAGAGCAAAGACCATTTTTGTTTTAATCATCAAATTCCTTAAAATGGTTTCTCCACATGGTTGACACTCAATATATTGGTTGAATCAATTAATAGGTATCCTAAAGCATTTGAATTTTTGGTACAGAATAGGTACTCAATAAATATCTGTTGAATGAATGAATGAATGAATGAGTGAATGCATAGATGAAGGCTACAGGTATGTTGTTATAAGTGGTCATGCTATTCCTATAAACTGCGCCTTAGCCCAATAACTAATCTCAATCCAATTTACTCCCATGACTTTGAAGAATCCATTAAGACTATCAGTGTAATTCAGAATGGCTTTCTTTTCAGATATCTAATTTGTGCTTAGACTAGTGGGATTCAAAAGAAAGAGAATGGTCTTCTCTGTTCATTGGAAGAACACACATGAAACAAAAAGAACAATCCAAGACTGTATATGATAAACAATATAATTATGGCATTGTGGAATCATTGAAAAAGTAGTGGACAAGATGATCAAAGACATCATTTCTAATTAGACATCGTTGATTTGCATCTCTGACCTATCTTCTAATACTTTTTTTCTTCATTCCTCTTTCTGGTGGCTGATTTTTAACAACTTTATAAAACAGATTTATGTTTTCCTTATTGTGGGCTGTTGCTTCCTCTCCTTTTAACAATCTGTATTTTAACCTTTTTTCTCATTACTCTTTGTAGCCTGAAATTTATTCTTCATGACAGAAGGACAACAACAACAAAAAAGAAGAAAATGGAAGGTAAGAAACAACTTTCCCTGTCATTTATCAAATGTATACCACTGACCTTGTGCAGGTTTTCTACCTATTCCTTGCTTATTTTGTACTGAATATAATCAAAAGATGGCCTTTCTGTTACCCTTATTATTATGTTTCCAACTATGGAGGGAGATCAGTTCCAATTTCTTTTCACAATAAATGGGAGAGGAAACTATCTGGAACAGAGATTAAGAAAATAGAGATAAAATTATTTGTACAAAAGAAAGTGATACTTATAGAGTATTTGTGAAGGTTTAAATGAATCAGTAAATGTTAGGTGTTTGGAATAAAGCCTAGCACACAGTAAATACTTAATAAATGTTGGCTATTACTATTTGGATGGTAACTATGATAGTAGTTGAATCAGTAACGGCTCCAGCAGAAAAGTAGATGCCACACTCATATTGAATAATTTGAGGATAGTTTAATACTAAACTACTTACAAAGGTGTGAGCAAGGGATAAGGAAACCACAAAGGATAATGTAATACCCTGGGAATAATAACAGTAGGTGCTATTAGTACTCTTACGCCTGAAGGGGTGTAACTCAGAATGAGTAGCTACAGCTATGGAGAGGGCCACTTGATGGGATCCCTTTGGTTGAAGGAAGTGGCCGGACCACAGCCAACTTGCAGGGTAGAAGCTGGGAGAATAAATGCCTCAACCACACTCTTCTCTCCTTCCAAATCTTGCTGGTACCCCTAATTGGCCAGACCTCAACCAAAAGCAAGAGAAGAGTGGAGCATGTGGGTGGAGTACATATAAGCTAGCCTCCAGGGACACAAAGCAGGTTGGACAAGGTCTAGCTGTGGATCTGGAGAACAAAACAGAAAATATCACCACAGTCATGATATAGGTATAGAAGGTATGGTCTTCTCCGTATAGAAGATAAGTTATAAGGAATTTATGGTGTGACCAACAAGTGACCTGTGGAAACATCTGGAGGTTTCTGTGGGAAGATATGTATGTTAGTACACAAAAGTCACCCCACATTGTCCCAAGGTTTAATTAATGACGAACCCAGAATGCTGCCCTGATGGAAACTTATCTATACTCCTATAAAGGTTATACTTATATTTCTTTAGACTTTTCCTAGTCAAAATATCTCAGACCTCTCTTGAAATCCTTTGTACCTTTTTAAAGGAGCAGCTATGTTGCTGGTGTTTAAGAGATGACTGAGGAAGGAGGTATGTAAAAGCGAGAAGAAGGTTGTTTCACCAGCTGGTACTAAAAAACGACTGCAGGCTTAAATAGTCAACATTGTACACCTCTCTTCCTTCACCACTACCTTTCCTGCTACTCCATTCTTCTATCATCAAGGAACAATACAGCTACATACAATTAAGAGGTAAAATGTGCTGGACGACTTCATAGAACTCTTGAGTTGTTAGAAATCAGGGACAGTTTTATGAGAAATATGACGTTTGAGCTAGGCTTTGAATAATAGATAAAGGCTTTTAAAAAATATAAAGCCAGTATTTTTGTATTTTTGTTTGTATCTTACCTTATTTCCTATATGATTTTTAAAAAATATTTTATTGGGGAATTGGGGGATGGTAACAGTGTTGGGGAATTGGGGAAGGGGACCAGCTGAGTTGTTGTTCTACAGTCTTCATTGTCAAGGGCGCCAGTTGCCATCTGGCTTCCCGTCATCGGCAGCTTGTGGCCTCTAAGCTCAAGGTGCTGTGTTCAATCTTAGTTGCGGGTGGGCATAGCCACTATCCCATGTGGAAGTCGAACTAGCAGCCTTGTTGTTAAGAGTGCACGCTCCTATCCACTGAGCCATCCAGGTGGCAGCTCAGCTTAAGGTGCGGAGTTCAGCCTTAGTTGCAAGTGAGCATAGCCACCATCCCATGTGGGAGTCAAACCTGGCAGCCTTGTTGTTAAGAGCACACACTCTATCCACTGAGCCATCCAGGCGGCAGCTCAGCTCAAGGTGCCAAGTTCAGTCTTAGCTGCAGTTGGGCATAGCCCACCATCGAACAGGCAATATTGTTGTTACATCAGCTGAGCCATCCTGCCACCTGTAGGCAGCTCAGGAACAGCTCAGCTTGGGTGCAGTGTTACTGGCCCATGTGGGAATTGAACCGTTGGCCCTGTTGCTCAGAGCTCACGCTCTTAAGCCAACTCTTAACCAACTGAGCCACTCGGCCGGCCATCCTATATGATTTAAAAGATAAATTCATAAACAATATTTATACATCTATGTTAATGGGAGCACAGTGGGTACATGTGTTTTTCCACGTGTATAAAGATATCCTTTGTTGCTTTTGTTTTTTAATAGTGCAACTTCTCTATTTCAATAGGACACAAAGTTAGTAGTATTTACAGTCTTTTAAGATAAAACTGCTTTTAAATGGGAGCTTGGTTTCTAGTACTTTGAGGTTCAGAAGACATAGCTAGAAAAGTTATTACTGTGAAAAATGAAGACTGCTGAAATCAAACAGGAGGGGGACTGTGCGTATGTGTGTGTGTGTGTGTGTGTGTGTGTGTGTGTGTGTGTGTTGTGTTTGTGTGCATGTGTTTTCATTACCATCTGTCCTTCAGGCATTGGAAGGAATTTCATATTATATTTAGCTATCATTAGGTACAGAAGATTTTGCAGCAAAATTTTGATGCTATATGCATTCTGTCATTTTGCTAGCACTGATATGGCTCTCAGGTCCACTACTCTATTAGATCTATTAACCCATTTATGGTATTTTTTGTAGCAATACCTCGGTTTGCGAGCATAATTCGTTCCGGAAACAAACTACTCATATTGCAAGACATCGCTCTTTTACCAAGTTAAAATGTACTATTTATTAGGTTGGTGCAAAAGTAATAGCACTTTTTGCCATTTTTGCACCAACCTAATAGAAATGTTTGCTCGTCTTGCGGAACACTCGCAAACCGAGTCACTCTCAATCCAAGGTGTATATATGTGTGTGTGTGTGTGTGTGTATAATTTCTTTATTCACTCACATGGACATTTTGAGTGGACATTTAGGTTGTTTCCACATCTTGGCTATTGTGAATATTACTACAATGAACATGGGAGCACACGTATCTGTCTTCCTAATTTAAATTCTTTTGAATAAATAACCAGAGGTGCCACTGCTGTATCATATGGTAGTTCTATATTTCATTTTTTGAGGAACCTTCATACTGTTTTCTATAGTGCCTACACATATCACATCCCCAACTTAGGTAACAAGGGTTCCGGTTTGCCCATATCCTCATCAAAACTTGTCTCTTTTTAAAAAAAGTAATAGCCATTCTAACAGGTGTGATGTGATATCTCATTGTGGTTTTGATTTGCATTTCCCTGATGAATAGTTATGTTGAACATTAAACACTTTTTTATGTGACTGTTGGCCATTTGTATGCCTTCTTTGGAGCAGTGTTCATTTAAGTCCTTTGCCCATTTTTTTAATTCATTTTTTTTTTGCCAATGAATTGAAATGATTTCTTAAATATTTTGTATAGTATCCCCTTATTAAATATATGGTTTACACATATCTATCCCATTACGTAGATTGCTTCTTCACTGTTGTTTTCTTTGCTGAGCAGAAGCTTTTTTAGCTTGATATAGTCCCAGTTGTCTAAATTTGCTTTTGTTTTCTTTGCTCTTGGTATCACATCCAAGAAATTATTGCCAAGACCAGTGTCATAAAGTTTTGCCCCTAAGTTTTCTTCTAGGCATACTACAGTTTCAAATCTTACATATCTTTAATTAATTTTGAGTTGATTTTTGTTTATGGTGTAAAATAAGTGTTCAATTTCATTATTTTGCATGTGGATATCCTGTTTTCTTTTACCCATGATGAATTTTGGGAGTCCTTGCTAAAGATTAGTTGATTGTACACGTGTGGATTTATTTCTGTGCTCTCTATTCTGTTCCATTGTTCTATGTGACTATTGTTATCTCAGTACTATACTGTTTTTATTACTGTAGATTTGTAATATATTTTGAAATCAAGAAGTGTGTTGTGTCCGCTTTGTTTTTTACTCAAAATTACTTTGGCTATTTGGGTCTTTTCTTGTTCCATATGAATTTTTAGAATTGTTTTTTCTATTTATATAAAAATGCAATTGGGATTTTGATAGGGATTGCATTGAACCTATAAATTATTTTGTGTACTATGAATATTTTAACAATGTTAAGTCGTCCAATTCATGAACATGGGATGGTTTTCCATTTATTTTTGTCTTTTAAAATTTCTTTCATCAGTGTTTTATAGTTTTCAATGTACAGGTTTTTCACTTAAATTTATTTGTAAGTATTTTATTCGTTTTTTATTTTTTTTGTTTATTTCAGGTGTACAACACAGTGCAATAGTTATACTTTTTACCCCTCAAAGTGAAAACCACCCTCAATATCATACATTTCTATTGATGCTATTATGAATGGGAATGTTGATTTTTTAGTTTCCTTTTTGGATAGCTCATTGTTAGATTGAAGCACAACTGACTTGTGTATTGATTTTGTATCCTGAAACTTTACTGAATTAATTTATTAGTTCTAGCAGGGGTTTTTTTTTGAGTCTTTAGGATTTTCTATACATAAGATCATGTCATTTACAGGGTTAATTTAACTTATTTTTCATTTGGATGCATTTTATTTATTTTTCTTCCCTAATTGCATTGGTTAAGACTTATAGTACTATGTTGAATAGAAGTGATGAAAGTGGGCATCCTTTCCTTGTACCTGATCTTAGGGGAAAAGCTTTCAGGTTTTGTTTGTTTGTTTGTTTGTTTGTTTGTTTGTTTGTTTGTTGTTGTTGCAGTTACCATTGTGTATGATGTTCTGTGGGATATTAATATATGACTTTTATTTTGTTGAGGTAATTTTCTTCTATTCCTAGTTTGTTGAGACTTGTTATTATCAAAGAGTGCTGAATTTTTTCATATGCAAATTTTCTGCATCTGTTGAGGTGATTTTGTAATTTTTATTCTTCGTTCTGTTAATATTGTATTATATTGATTAATTTTCATATATTAAAACATCCTTGAACCCAAGGTTAAATGCAATTGAATGGGAGAAGATATTTGCAAACAACACCTCTGATAGGGGGCTAATATCCAAAATACATAAAGAACTCATACAACTCAACAACAACAAAAACTGCCAAACAATCCAATTAAAAAATGGGCAGAGAACCTAAACAGACTTCTCCCAAGAAGACATACAAATGGCCAACAGATATATGAAAAATTCTCAACTTTACTAGCTATTAGGGAAATGCAAATCAAAACCACAATGAGAGACCACCTCACACCTGTTAGAATGGCTATTATCACGAAGACATGTAAAAAAGTGTTGGAGAGGCTGTGGAGAAAAAGGAACCCTCATACACTGCTGATAGGAATGTAAATTGGTACAGCCACTATGGAAAACAGTATGGAGGTTCCTCAAAAAATTAAGAATATGTGATCCAGTCAAGATGACAGAGTAAGTAAATGCTGTGTTTGCGTTCTTTCATGACCACATCAAAATTACACCTAAATTATAGAACAACCATCATTGAGGATCACCTGAAGTCTAGCTGAACCAAAGCCCTACAACTAAGGACATACAGAAGAAGACAATTCGAGACTGGTATGAGAGATGAAGACATGGAATGGGATTGTCCCATACCCCTGTGTGACCATTAAACATTGGGAGGGGGCTGGCCGAGTTGGTGAAGAGCTGGCTTGGGACACCAGAGGGCCCTGGGTCAGATCCCACATATGAGGGCCAGTGACACTGCCCTCTACAGCTAAGATGCTGAACAACAGCTCAACCTGGAGCTGGGATGCTGTGAGTCGCCAGC